AGTAATTCAATGCAACAAATGTTTGCTGAATCCCTCCTCTGTACTAAGTGACCATGGCAGACAGAGGACCTGCCCAAGGCATGGTGGGAATCCAGAGGAGGCAGCACCCAGGCCTAAAAAGCTAGGTAGGCTTCCAAGAGGGAGCAATAACACTTCAGAGGCCTGAAGGATGAGTCAGGTCAAGTGCAGTGGGGCAGAGGGAGGAATAGGAGATACCAGGAGTGTCCCAGTAGAAGAAACAGTATCTTCAAAGGCCAGAGGGAAGTGTGTGGGGGCTTGAGATTTTCAAGTAAAGGCAAAGAGTTGTGTCTGAAACAGAGTTCATGTGGAAGAGAGAGAAAGGATGAGCCTGGGGCCCAAATGGGCCTTGTGGGCCAGTGAAAGACTCCTCCCTTTTTCCTGAGGGCGGTTTGAGCAGGATTAGCCAGATTTAGCAAATAAACATAGGTTGTCCTGTTAACTTTGAATTGCAAATAAACACCAAATAATATTTTTAGTATAATTATGTGCATGCAATATTTGGAACATCCTTATACTAAAAAATTGTTCGTTGTTTATCTAAGATTCAGTTTTAACTGGGCCTCTCGTGTTTTCTCTGGCAGCCTTAAGTGTGGGACCACAGAATGATTTTAAGCAGGGAATGACATGGTCGGATTTACACTTTGGGAAGCTCCAGAATGGATTTGTGGGAAACATATTGGAGAGAGACAGGAAGGGGTGGAAGGTGAGGGTCCTGTTTTGTCCAGGCCGGAGAGTGGGGGCCTCTCATCATGTCACCTGTCTCCCTGACCCAGTGGGCAGGCTTGGATAAATCCCTCGGCTGATGAAGTCTCGTACAGGTGACTGTGGACCAGCTGAGACCCCAGCTCTGCTCCCTCCTGGGCCCTCAACAGCCTCATGTTTTGAATGAAGGGGTCAATCAGAAGAGATGGTCCATGAGGGCCATTCCGTTCCTGCCATTCTGGGGTCTCTGTCCATCCTCTCTGACATAAACTCCCAGGTGTTGTCCCACCATGATAACAAGTCCAACCTGAAGACTTTTGATTTCAAGGTCACCCTTCCTGTGCCCCCTTGTTCCTTCTTCCCCTCCACCATCACTCGGGCCAATGAATGTGTGTAGTCCCCCCCGCACCTCCTCTCTCCAACCTTAGGAACCATGCCTGGTTTGGGAGAAGGGACTCGGCATTTTCTGTGGTCCTACTATGTGCTGAGCTGGCTCCTCTACATCATTTGTGTCATTTAAGCCCCACAACAGCCCCCCAAGGATGGTATTATTATCCCCATTTCACAGATCAGAGCACTGAGGCTCAGTGGCACAGTTGCTGCCCAGGTCACGCAGCTGCACAGGGCAAACCTGGAGGGGAGTCGTGGCCTGGCTGGCGCCACTGCTCTGTCCTCCCACTGTCTCCAGGAAATATCCTCTGGGAGCCCCTAATCCCCCACACATTTATCGCTTGGGCTCAGTCAGCAGTCTCCTTGTCCCACAGCAGGCACATGCTGCCCTGGCTTGTTCTGAGTTAAGCCAGGGGCTCACATGGATGTGTTTAATGCTTGTCTTCTGGGGGCTTTCCGGTTTATGAAACCTTTTCCCAGCCGTGCCCTCCCCACGACCCCACGGAGCCTGCAAGGACCCCGGCCCCCTCCAGCTCTTCTAGCCTACAGCTCTGCAGCGGTAAAGGCCACATTAAATATTAACACCACAGCTCCTGCCCTCGTGGTGACGTCAATTCCTGGGCTGCTTGGTGAGGGCCGCGGCTGCCTTTCCAAGGTGAAGCAGTGACCGGAATTCAGCTGGCTCGGATGGCATCCCTGGGGGCTGGCTGTCAGGACGCAGAGAAGATGTAGCTAATGTAGGGCGTGGCAGGCGTTCTGAAGTTTTCTTCCCATCTCCCTGGCTCCCTCAGGGTCCCCTGGCTTCCTGATGCTGACACAACGCACTCAGTCATTTGGGAAGTATTTATTGAGCACCTGCTGAATGCCAAACACAGTGCTGAGCTCTGGGGTACAGCTGTGAGTGCAATAAGATCCCTGCATCATGGGACTCCCATGGAGATGGAGAAACAGTCTCAATGCAGAGGGGGAAGCCCAGCACTGTGCCCACCCGGCCTGAGGAGGAGGGATGCCTCCAAAAGAGGCTAGGCTGATGCTGAAAACTAAAGAAAGGGCTCGAGTTAGGTACGGGAAGGGGCAAGGGAAGTGTTTCAGGCAGAGGAAACAGGATCCGAGGTCAGATCCTGACCTCGCATTTATCTGTAGGCTGGGTCCCCCGCACAGGGTTGCTAGGCAGGCTGAGTGAAGCCAGGGGTAGCAATAGCACAGGGCTTGATGCACAGCGAGAGCTCAGGGTGGGGCTGTTATGAAAAGACCCCTGTGCCTTTATATAAATCCTTCACCCTGCCCAGAATCCTTACCCCCACTTGGTGAGCAGAGAAACTAAGGCTCAGAGAAGCGACCTGACATGCCTGGGGGGCTCATTTAAGGGAAGTAACAGCAGAAGTGCCCAGTAGGCAGCACCAATGCTCTCCCTCAGCCACAACCTCATTCCTCCTGGCAGCAGCCCAGGGGATCTAGTGGGAACAGCAAGCACTGTTGCAATGTGCCCATTTTATGGATGAGGAAACTGAAGCTCAGAGAAGTGCAGTGGCTTGCCCAGGCTTCCCCAGCTACTGTGGAAGAGCTGGGATTTGAGGAGGGTCTGATCTGGGCAACTGCAAGGTGGCCAAAATCAACTTGGAGTGTTTCTCCTCCTTTCAGCACCCTCCTGACTTTTGTAATCTTGCCTTCCTTCCCATTGCTCCCTCCCTTGTCTGTTTAAAGGGTATGAGAGGAATTCCTATCTGATGGTTGTCATGAGGACTAAGTGAGAGCATATATTAGATTAAATTGCATAGCATAGTGCTTGATGCCTAGTTGCTGGCCAGTAAACACCAGTCCTACCAAAAGAACTCTGTGCAGATGGTGGATATCAGAGTCAGGGTGGGAGTGGACAGGAGGGGAGAGTACTTCTTGATGGAGAACCCGGAAGGTTCCTTAGAGGAGGTAAAATTTCAGCTGGGCACTGAAGGACTTAAGTGGAATCAGAAAGGACATTCTACATTTCTACACCGGTAGAAACTCATGGGCAGTGTCTGGGGACCTGGTGGGCCTAGGATGCCCAGGGGTGGGTGATGAGCTTGGAAAGGTGGGCCAGGTCTGATCATGAAGGGCCAGGGCGAGGAGCTTGTTTCTTTAAGCAGTCCCACCTATGGCCTGGCAGCGTCTCAGCTATCTGCAGAGGCCAGCCCCCCTCCCCCCAGTCAGCCTTCTCGTGTGGCTTTGGTCCTCCCAGATCCCTTGTTTCCAGAGTCAGGGCCAGCCTGCCACGGTTGTCTAGAAGGAGGCAGAAGGCTATAGCAATCTGCTCGCCTCCTACTAACATACTGGGAGGAAAGAGATGTTTCTTAGCACAGATGCCTGGCAGGGAACCTTGGAGAAAACTCAGCGACCGTCCCCCTTACTTCCCAGGGTACTACTGTCTAAGCAGCAGGTGGTGACAGTTATGCTCACAGCTCAACCACTCAAAGAATATTCTCAGGCTCTCAGAAGGTCAGGGGCAGCCGTGGGAAGAATGGTGATGGTGGAGCGGATCTGGATTCTGCTTCCTGCCCCCCCCCCCCC